ACGACGAAGCATTCGAATATTGTACGAAATACTCGAATGCTGAAACAAAGAGACAAATAGAATGAAAGAAATAAAATCTGGAAGAAGAAAAATAATTAGAACCTGAAAGAAGAAATTATTGTTAAATTATTTAAGAGAGTGGACAATGGCCACTGAATAGCCATTGATCTAGCCAACGATGATACACAAATAAACCAACGACGAAGCATTCGAATATTGTACGAAATACTCGAATGCACAAACAATGAAAACTAGAATGAAAGAAATAATATCTGAAAGAAGAAAGATAATTAAAACCTGAAAGAAAAAATAATTAGTACCTGAAAGAAGGAATTATTATTAAATTATTCAAGAGAGTAGACAATGGCCATTGAATAGCCATTGATCAAGCCAACGATGATATACAAATAAACCAACGACGAAGCATTCGAATATTGTACAAAATATTCGAATGCACAAACAATGAAATCTAGAATAAAAGAAATAGAATCTGAAAGAAGAAAGATAATTAAAAGCTGAAACAAAAAATAATTAGTACCTGAAAGAAAAATATTAACGCGGACCCTCCGAAGTCGAAGCGACAACTGGCTCGAGCCTGCACGCGGGCCCCTTATATAGCGGCGGCCGGGCGAAGATCGGCGAAAATTTCCGAACTTTACCGATTCCTTTAAAAGTTACTTTTCCGCTGTAATAACTAATAATTTATTAACTTTTTTGACTTTTATCGTTAATATACTTTACAAACTATTTGTTATCATTGATTTTAATTTGTTATTAACAATAAATTTATTAATTTATTAACTTTTTGTAAGTTATGAATACATTTTAATACAAATACGTTGTTTGTTTAAGTAGTAGCTAATAATTTATTAACTTCTTTTACTTTTATCGTTAATATACGTTGCAAGATATTTGTTGTTAACAATAAATGTAGCAATTTATTAACTTTTTGCTAATTATAGATACATTTTCACGCAAATACGTTATATATACTAGTAATAGCCTATAATTTAGTAATTTTTCCGCTTGTATTATAAATTTACGTTGTGACCTATTTGTTATTAGAAATAAGTGTAATAATTTTTACACTTTTGCAAATTATAGGTACATTTAAACATTAGTATGATATTGTTCAAGTAATAACCAATGAATTAATTCTTTTCTTGTATTATAAATTTATACTATGAACAATTTATTATTAATAACAAATTGGATCATTTATACATTTTTATGAACTATAACTATATTTGAATGACGTCATTGCCAAGAATTCCGTTCACTTCCCTCTCGCAGCTCCAAAAGTCGTCATATGTTTAACTGAAATATCGAAAATTTACAAGAGCTAGGAAATATCTTAAACTTTGCGCGTAGCTCTTAGCTTGGTATCGTTTCCCAAAAAAAACAATTTTTTTTAGGAAACGATACCAATTACCAGGTCTCACCACGTGGAGGTGGTTACGCATCGAGACCCAGACATGTGCCCTAATGGCACAGCCTACTGGCGCTATCCCTATCAAAGATAGCTTAACCTAACTTGGAGCGAATTAAATTAAAGTGACGTTAGTGACACTTTATTTTATTTCGTGTCTTACAAAGGGGACTTCGATTCGATATACTAAAACTCTACTGTTGCAATAAAATAAGTTCCCATAAAAATAGGGAATGAAACATGAGACACGCGAGCAAATAGAAAATCGCGACGCGCCCGAACGAGTTCGCGATTATTCGAAAGACCGACTAGCCTACGAGACGTACTCTCGAGTACAAGACGACTTCATGCCTTGGCACCCTCCCGATCGGACCTAGTCCATGTCCAGTCACTGCCATAATCTCGTCAAGACTTACACGCGGACCAAGGATAGTCCCCGAACCAATGAAACTTCCAGAGTCGATACGAGGGTCCGGCGGGGCATTGCAAGCCAGACAGACACTTCGCATCCCTGCCACACGGGGTAGAACTTAATCATCCCTGTGGTCTAACCGTAGACACTATGTCCGTCCAACTGCGTACCCGAACCCCAGTCGCGTACGCGACCGGGGCAGCTGGACCCCCGCATCAAGTCCAGAAGAAACAAGTGACCCGAGGGCCACCCTGGAACTCGATGCTTGACGAGATTGACAGTGGCTGGAAATGAGTGTCGGAGACGAGTCGTGAGGATGACTTATGAGACGTGAAGTTGTCGAGTACAAGGGAGTACGTCGCGCAGGCTAGTCGGTGCTTAAGAACACTCGCGATTATCGCGAGAACAATTATGTTCTATTTGCTAAACGAGGAGGATATGAGAATGATAGAGAATTTATACATTTCGCTCCAAGTTAGGCAGCTTACCTTTGTACGAATAGCGCGCACATGGAACTTAGTCTAGGTATCTATCTTACAACTTAGGTCTACTTAGATGTAACGTACGCACCCCGCGTCATCCATTGATATGTCCCAAATGAATTCTGGAAGAAACCTGAGAATCTCGAGAAACCTAAAAACTGAAACAGAATATAATATTATTAATATAAACCTGAAAGGAAACGGATTAGTACGAGGAAAGACGATCAAAGCGAAACGAATATGAACGACAACGATAAATCAAATAGATGGAACAACCCAACGATGAGACATGAGAAACCAACAATTACACATAAGCAAATTAACAACGAAACATTCGAATATTATACGAAATATTCGAATGTTCGAATGAAGATGAATAGAAACGAGAAAATAAAATGTGGAAAGAGAAGAATAATTAAAACCTGAAAGAAAATAAATTACACCTGAAATATAAAAATTATTAATAATCCTACGATGAGAGATAAAGAGCCCAACGATGAGACAAGAAACCAACGACGAGACATTGGAATATTATACGAAATATTCGAATGTCCAAATATAAATGAATATAAACGAAAAATAACACCTGAAATAAAAAATAATTAACACCTGAAAGAAAAGAAAAATTAATATCTGAAAACAAAAGGAAATGATTAATAAATTGGGGTGGGGTGAGGATGGGGTAGCCAACCCCAACCTCACTTCGAACTCCCACCCCTCGCGCACTCGGAAAAATTTCGAAGTTACACTTCCGAAGTCGAACCGACAAATGACTCGAGCAGCCGTCCGTCGCCCTTTATATAGACTCCGATCGGCCGAGTCCCCCACCCCGATCGGAAATTTACGAATTTTAACGATTTCATTAATTATTATTTCTCGGCACTAATAGCTAATAATTTATTAATTTTTTTACTTTTATGATAAATATACGTTGCGAACAATTTGTTAATAACAATATTAATTTGTTATTAACAATAGACGTGATTATTTATAAACGTTTTTGGAAATTATTGGTTGATTTTAACGTAAGCGCGTTATAAGTTCAAGTAATAGACAATAATTTATTAATTTTTTCACTTTTATTATAAATTTACGATGCACACAATTTGTCACTAACAATATTAATTTTCGTTATTAACAATAAGGGTAATTATTTATAAACTTTTTCTAAATTATACGTATATTTTAAAATAAGCACGTTTCGAGTTCAAGTGATATTCCGCAATTTATCAATTTTTCCATTTTTATTATAAATATACACTGTGAACAATTTGTTATTAATAATAAAATTAATTAATAATTAATAGGATTAGAGAAAAAGGTTAAAATTCGTTGCACGGTGTGTCGTATGTACAAGAAAACGGCAAGAACTCAATTAAAAGAATGCACCATGGAATCGTGGATTCTGAAATGCAATTTTATAAAATATCGATACAGCGGGAAGCGGGCTAATGTTAGGCAGTAAATGCATGCCATTTGATAGTAACGAAATTCATAAGGGAAATCGTTTATCGCGAAGTGAAATATTATTTCAGCCTTGATTGCCGTAATGTATAACATTTTATCCGCAAACGTGCATCGGATATCGCGCTTTGTACATTTTTCAAATTTATTCGCACACGTGTACAAATATCACACGTTCCTCGCAGATGCAGCCTACATAAACTTTCGCCGTTTATTCATGACGCGGAACAAATGAAGCGAATTTTATGAAACAAATGTGCCCTGCAAAAGCAACGCGCAAAGTGTGCGTCACGAAGGATATCTATTCCACGTGTACCAAAGACGAGGCAAATTTCCATCCCATTTCGCTATCAATTTTCTATACAAACATGCATTTCCAGCCCACCAGCGACATTGTACTCCTCCGTCGCAGTTCCGGTCCGAAGAAATTGATTTCCCGGAGAAAGATGCCGCGATCAATGGGCCAAGATAAAGGCTAATAGGTGGCGCGATCATTTCCTATAAAACCAATTAAGAAATCTTAATCCGCGAGAACGGGCAGGTGGATTAGTTTCAATAATCGAGAAAATGGCCGGAGGTCGTCTTGGAAGTTGGTCCGCGTCGGTATAGTAGATCCCGTTTAATCCGAGCTTTCAGGTTTTAACGCGAAGGCATCGATGCGACGATACGGATTAATTTCACGCGTAATTGCGATTGTGCCCGTTAATCCCGAATCTGCGACAGAGGAGGCACGATCGAGGTTCACGCAGCCGACAAAGCGTCGAGCTCACGTCGCACCTTCAATCTGCATAATTAAGGGACTAATTATGCGCCCTGCGCGAAATATCTTCGAAAACGACCTGTTTGTACAGCTTTGCAGCTATACTCGCTGTTAATCGAGTTTTCTTACGATATGTCATTTCCTGACGCAGGTGTACTACAGGGTTCCTGTTTTTGCAATCGACCCTTTGCGATCCGAGTCGCATTTCACGCCGTATCCTAACTGAGATCTCCGAAACGCTGCTCAAAATTTTATCCTACTCCCGTATTTTTCTAACTAGCCCGTCGTTCCCGTTGACGTATTCCTATTGAATTATTTTACAAAGAAGATGGCAATGTTTCCTGTTTCAAAATCAGAGAAAAATAGAATCGGATGGGACAGGGCCCCGATGCGAAATCGACGTAGGGATCACGAAGGGCTACAAAGATAAAAGACGCATTGTACTGTTCGTAGAATGGGAAGTGGAACGGTTTGATAGCCGACCTGGTGAACCGGAAGACAGACATGGTGATGACGTCTCTGATGATTAATTCGGAAAGAGAAGCCGTAGTCGATTTCACGGTGCCGTACATGGAGACTGGTATCGCCATTGTGGTGGCGAAGAGGACTGGTATTATATCTCCCACTGCCTTTCTTGGTAAGTGCTCGTAAATGCTCTATTAAACATTCGCTTTGAACCTTGCTGAAATTCGCACGGATTCGCGATGGCGTTACGCGAGAAAATAATAATAATAAAACGTTGCTTGTCGGCCATTTTTATGCAATTAAATCCCGAATAATACGAAACGCGCGAAATGAAATTTGGTCGCGTACCTATTTAAAATACGTACCTCTTTCGATTGGAATTATGAAACTATACGATAGAAATGGTTCCGAAGTTTTGCAATTTTCCCGAATTCTGTTGAGTAATTCCAAAAATGCAGCAGATGTATTATACCCCCTTGCTGGAAGGGAATGCGCGATAAATTCGAAGCGGACGCTGATCGGTTCTAAGAACAGGCTGCGTTGCACTCCCGGAATACTTCTGGAAGTTAATGGTTTACGACTATGTTATTCCACGAGACAGGAAGTCGGTAAGTGGATCATCATCCGAACCGGAAGTTTACGTACCGTTCTTATACCGATCGGTGTACAGACCTCGCGAAACTCCAGAGAAATTATCAAACGATCACCGGCAATAAAAGCTCACCGGAAGAGAAGACAGTAGTACGTTCAGTTTCGTTACCCTGTTCTATGTCGAAATTTTTCGCGTTGACAAAATTGGTGTAATTATTTGAAAGTGTATTACTTGCTTCTACATTCCGATGCTTTCTCCGAATATTAATTCCTGCTTGTAAAACGAGGATATGTATTAAGAGAAGAACTAACGACGAATAATCCTACGAATTATTAGCCACCTGCAATTATAAAGCCATATGAATAATCCCATGAATTATTTAAAACTCCGACGATCTCTCCCATGTTTATTCATGATACTAACACTTTTATGACGTACTTCGAAATGAATACACCGAAAATCAAAAGAATTTATTACTCGTTCTAATAGAGACTGGAATTAACGAAGCAGAATATGTATAGTAATTTTTGATTACATTTTTGGCTCCTCTTGTAAATATAAAGCAATATTGACATTCGAAAATATAAAGGAACGTTTCCATGCATCTTGCATGAATATTAACCTTGCGCAGGCGAATACCACCATATATACATACGTGGTATAATATATTTATTTATTCGACAACCACGTGTGCGACGAAGAAAGATATAATTTTTATTCGTATTTTCGCTTGAAAAAATTTGCCTCGGTTTATTATTCCCAGCGAGTTGTATACTTTACGCGTCGCCATCTTTGTCTTGCGTATGTATGTAATATATTCTGAAACATTTCGCAGGAAAAAATTGTGCAATTACGATTTCCAGAACCATTCGACACCGCATCCTGGATGCTAGTCGGCTTCGTCGCCATACACGCGGCCACGTTCATGATCCTGCTGTTCGAATGGTTGTCACCATCCGGTTTCAACATGAAGGTAAACCCTTCAGACACTGCGCGCAAACCGGTATTATTAATTTCGCTTCTTATTAGCTATGTGTGTTTTCTCGTCTCCGACGCAACGCATCTCGCACAGCGAATTAGTCGTCGCGCGATGTCGTTAATCTTAATGACACTTCACCACCGTGACACAGCACCGGGAAAAAGAGATTGATCGTGTATTCTTCCCTTCGCATCGTACCACGCGACGTCCTCCTTCCCCCGATTCGCGAAAAAACCTGACTCCCCCTTCGCCGACGTTAGAATTTGCGATTTAAAGCTCCGATCTCGTGAGCAGTTTACGAGCGTGATTGTCGACTTTTTGTTCGCTGAAAATTCCCCTAGAGCGAAAGGAAGGGAGCAGGACGATGTTCAATTTCTTACGTTCCCTTTCCCTTAACGCGACTTTGATTCTTAAGCTTCGCGTCGGAATCTTCAGGGTGTTTTTACGGTTTCTCCTCGCGTCGGTCAGTGCGATGTTATATACTCGCAGATAAAATTAAGTAGCTCCATGAGAGGGACATTAATCACCCTAATTGCTCGCAGAAGGCTCCGATGCGGTTCTAGCGGAAGAAAATGAAGCTTAAGTTAAATCGATTAATTAACGCCACCGAGTGGTTGTTCGCTTTAAATAATTTTCTACGCTGGAAAAATACGGCTTCCTATCGAATTATTTCGAACCACTCCTCTTTATTTTATCGTGTTATTACACTCCTACCTGCCACGTGATCTCTTTCACCCAAACCTACCCTAGTTCACGCCGTAGACCAGAGGGTTTTCTTATTATTGCACTCTGTATCTAGCGTACAAACGATTTCAAACAGAGATGAACGTGGCTGGTTTTTGCCGATTGCAGATGAATCCGTCGCCCAACCATCGGTTCTCCTTCTGTCGGACGTACTGGCTGGTCTGGGCCGTGTTATTTCAGGCAGCCGTCCATATCGATTCTCCCAGGGGATTCACATCCAGGTCGGTAAAACAATTTCCATCGGAATTAAAATCCTCGCCGCGAATCATGTCCCTCGGTAAGGCCGGGGACAAGGTGGAAAGAGAGATCTCGCGAAACCCGGTTAACCTGTTTCCCTGCATCGAGCAGGGATCAAAGGAGGGATCAAAAGGGATCGCACGGTTCGCGCATGACATTCGCGAATCTTCGTTCGCGTGCTTTGTGGACCAATTTAATTCTCGTCCTAATCCTTTGCCTTCCTCTTTCCTGCGGGGCAAAAATAGATCTTAATCGGGGATAGATGGGAACTTGTTAATAGCGATTCGAGGCTGATCGGGATATTTCATGCGCAATTCGTTCTCTCTGATCGTTCCATCTCTGATTGAATTTAAATGCGAAGACCGATTTCGGAGATCGCGTTATTATTCGAGATGGAATTCCGGAAATAATGGAGCGAACGTTAGGGTTAATTCTCGCGAAATTGTTTCAGTTTCTATTACCCAATTCGTTTTACCGTGCTGGTTACACTGATATTCCATACTATGTCGATCCATTTCCAACTCCTGGCATATATAGCTTGGAAACTGTTTAAAGTCTGATTGTTGGAATATCTGATCCTTCGGCTACTTTCAGAGACAGCTAATATTGGAACATTTGACGCGAAAAGATATGGGAATTTTGTCGAACAGGTACAGTCCTGAAAGAATGCGACGAGTGTTTGAGACATTGTATGATAGAATTATGTATGACAAAGAAAGTTTACGTATGTTCCTGAGGGCTTGAGGTACATGGCGCCATTGAGGGTGCAGTTGCGAGTGTGCCTGGAAAGCGACTGACTGCGGGATTTTGGGTAAACCTGAAAAAAGGAATCAAATGAGAATGGATTAGAATTGAGAGCAATTGTAGAGGGACTTACTTTTGCATTAAGAGTCCTGAAAGAACGAAAATCAGACAATTAGAGACCTGAGAGTATCCCGAGTGAGAGACTTCGCGAACAAATGATACCATTTATCCTAAATAAAGCTGTTACTGTTATCAAAGAAGCGTCCTTACTTCTCCAACCTCTAAACTTGCATCTACGAATAACAGATTCAATTAAGAGTAAACCCTACAGACGTATTTCGTACCTGAAACTTATCTCGTATTTCGCGAAATCGTAATTAATTAGCTGCTCTCCGAACGTTTACTCAAAAATGTCGTAATTCCGATTATCTCGCCGTAATTAAAGTTCGCTGCAGGAGAGGTCTGTTGATAGGAGGACAGCGCGAAGCGTCATAATTCGCGAGTAGGTAAGCAGACAGAGCGGCTTTAAATCAAAAGGACGGTATCTTCAGATCGCAACGCGGATTTCGCTGGACGGAGTGTACAGCCCAGGAACGTTGAAACGTTTCTGTGCCAAGAAGCTGTATTCGGCCGCGGTATTATCCGTGATAAATGAACGTTTTATTTCTCGGTCCAGTCGAGCGGCGAATTCAAATGCGGCTCTTTCGCTTAATCTCCGTGGAACCCTGTGAATTACTTCCGGCGTCCGTGGCTCTTCAGACCGCCCTGCCGCGAATCGGCCGCGGAATATTTCATCCCTCGACGAACGGGTTGTAATTTTTAAGCGGGAAAAAAGTTACGCAACGCTGGTAAAAATATAACACGGGATAATCGGTGGAGGTCGGACGAGATCGTAAATAAAAGCCCCCGGCACTGGCCCATGTTAATGCGATAAAACACGGCGCTGCTAAGCCACGATGTCGCGAGATATGAAATAAAATGTGTATTAAAATCGGTGCTCGCGTTGATGACGGTTCGTTGAAATTTCCTATCAAACTCTTGGGATTTGGGGCGGAATCGAATGGAAAATACGAGACGGTTGAATGAACGACCTCGAATGAAGCCTCGAGTCTTCGACTTTCCAGACATCTATCAAATCTTCCGCTTCCGTGATCGTATTATATTCAATGTACCGGGAAATAATTGTCATTGGATTTGTAATGATGGATGCGCCACTTGGAGGAATCAATCAAACGTGGAACCGGGTCGACGAATTGATCGGCTTGAAAGAAACATCGTTTTATCGTCTCTGCACTCTTCGTTCCGATCTTCCTTCGTTTTTTCGCGATTTTCGATTAAATTCGAAGTCTGTGTATGAACTGTACCACGATATGGAATAATATTGAAGTACAACACAGTTCTAACAAGCCTTTTCGATGGGATACAATGTAAATACAGTTCCCGGGTATTGATTGATTAATTTGGTACGAACTGTGAAATATACTGGGTACAAATGTGTATTTGAACAAGTACCGTGAACCAAATCGACGTATCCTAGCTCGGGGTTATTTGTATCGATGTTAAAGTTTCATACAGCACGTAGACGTTCTTTACGAACGATCGATTTCAATTATTGCGGTGGATAACGCAGTGATAAATGAAAGCGAAAATTAATTCCGACAGCGTAATTTTTCTCGTACTCCTATCGAATCCCTTCTACTATTTTTATCTCTTATAAACATGGAATTTTTATTCCTGTAATTACAGTTCTTCCTTTCATACGTGAATTCATATTCCTCGTACCACCGACGAAAGAGAACGAAAATAATCCTCGTTAAAAAGTGGAGTCAAAGAAATTTGAAAGAAATCTCTCGATATCTTCCTAATAAAGAAGCACAAAAATTAGGTGAATACCATGCGAAGAAAGATAATAGACCTAAAATCGCAACTAACTCCTAAAATTACTCAGCTAGTATCCCTGAGCCAACAACGCGACCCAACAACTGCTTATCGACAAGACCTAACTACACATTTGTAACCCAGATTTATGATAAACGTATGGGCGTTGTTCGCCGTGGTGTTCCTGGCCATTTACACTGCCAACCTGGCTGCCTTCATGATCACGAGAGAGGAGTTCCACGAGTTCACCGGCGTGGACGATCACCGTTTGGCCAAGCCGTGGTCACACAAGCCTATGTTCAAGTTCGGTACCATACCCTGGAGCCACACGGACAGCACGCTGGCGAAATACTTCAAGGACATGCACGCGTACATGAAGAAGTTCAACAAGAGCAGCGTGGCCGAGGGGATCGAGGCGGTTATCAGCGGGTAAGCCGAACAAACGTGTATGTCGTTGCAATTGCCGTCTGTCATTGTGTTAGAACTTTGCCAGACACCGCTTAACCGCGCTTAATGCTCACGCATTACGTACACGTAGCTCGTTATCGAAGTTCCCGAGTGGAGTTGCTCGCTTAATCACCGTGAGCTAGTTCCCTTAGCTTTTGACGCGATCCGGCGTCAGGTTAAAGGCTCGGAAAACGAAGGCTGCGGGTGGGATGTAAATTACCATGCAAACGGAGAATAGGGTATTTTTCTATCCCAGGGGTCGAGTTGATGCTTCCTCTTGATACCAAAATTTTTATTTTCGAGTTCCAATCAAGTTCTCTTGAATCTACAGTCGGCAGCATGAGTGCTCGTCCATGTACTGGGTTCCTAAAAAAAATATGGAAATTAACGTTTATTTATGCAAGATTCGCGGTATTTTGTTCAATTTTTCATTACATACAATAACTACGAATTTTATGGAATGACAGCTTGACTTGTGTCATTAAAAATTAATTTCTGTGTCTTTATTTAAATTTTACCTGGACGAACAGTTATGCGGCCATCTTCCAAATAAATACTATAGTTGCTATAGAAACTTTTCACTCCTTAATCTGAAACAATGGGAATTTTCTTAAGATGCCTGCGATTCTTCGAAATTTCAAATTGATAATTGATTTAATACTTTCGGTTTTGATATTCGCGTGACCGAGCTGCAATAATCGGGAAGAATGCAGGAAAACGTTTCGCTGAAGGATTTCTTCGTGCCTGGAGAGAAAGTTAGAGAATGCAGTCGTGATAAGACTGAGAGATGGTTCTTCGTGGGAAGAAAAAGTTTCCGGGGTGTGGGTGGGACGATCAACCGTGCCACTGGTTCGATTCGACGATTTTCCGACGAGTTTCTCGGCTAGTTTCTCAATTTTCTGAACAAGGTCGTTTCCTCCGAAACAGAGAAATGGACGCGTTTATCTACGACGGAACAGTGCTGGACTATTTGGTGGCGCAGGATGAGGACTGCCGATTACTGACCGTGGGATCCTGGTACGCCATGACCGGATACGGCCTCGCGTTCTCGAGGAATTCCAAATACCTGCAGATGTTCAACAAACGTCTGCTCGACTACAGAGACAACGGTATCTATTCCTGTTTACGTGTCCTTTGAAATCAGACGACGAGTCGTATCATCCATGGATTCTATTCCAATGATTATCTCTATTAAATTTATTTATTAAATTTTTACCCGATTATCGAGTCTTATTTTATTCAACTCGAACTCTTTCCTTCCAAAATTGATTCCAATAAATCAGCAATCTGTAACAAAATACAAATCTCGTGTTAATTAATTTTTTAAAACATTCAGAATCTCTGACTCTAATTGCGTATTTGCATATACCTGGTAGATTTTTGAAGACTCTGACGAAAACGAAAAATGTAATCAGTTCAGCGGTGTCGGAGGAATTGAAAGACTTTTCACGCTGCCGTGTTCATTCTTAAGACAAGAACACTGAAATTCCAGGGGATTTGGAGCGTCTAAGAAGGTACTGGATGACAGGGACGTGTAAGCCAGGCAAAGAGGTACAAAAGAGCAGCGATCCCTTGGCGTTGGAGCAGTTCTTGTCCGCGTTTCTATTATTGATGATGGGAATTCTTCTGGCAGCGGTCCTCCTCCTCCTGGAATATTTGTATTTCAAATATATCAGACAGCATCTGGCGCGAAGCGACGGCGGTGGGTCTTGCGCACTTTTCAGCTTGGTAAGCGGCTTCCGGCCTGCATAATCTATCATATTTCCCTCCGAGTATATCGGTCACAGCGAAGTCAATGTTCTTGCGTTCAAATTTTCATCATCGCGTCTGCATATTACAAAAGCGTACATTTTTCTTTTCCTTCGTATCGTGTATCGTGGTACACGAGCTTGAAAGCGTAAAATCTACTTAAAAATTCTTTTCGAAGAGCATGGGAAAATCGCTGACGTTCCGCGGCGCGGTCTACGAGGCTCAGGACATCTTGAGGTACCATAGATGCAGGGATCCCATATGCGACACTCACTTGTGGAAGGTGAAGCACGAGTTAGACATGGCGAGGATCAGGATACGTCAGCTGGAGAAGGATCTGGAAGCACACGGGATCAAGCCCACGCAGGCCAAGTACGCTGTGAACTTAATTCGTTCGGTTTACCGTCGTTTCGCGATCGAAAATACTCGACGCTGTATCTGCATTGCAGTCGAGACCCTCGACCATAGCTCATCCGAGGGGATCTCGAGGATAGTATTCGATCGAGTCGAAACCCTTCGAGAAATTTTATTCGTTGCTTCCCTCCTATTTATCACGGATGCGCCGTAGACGTGACGTCGGCTAAAGAGTACCGAAGAGTAATTAGACGGATGGAATTGTTAACGAAACTCCCTATAGAAAATGTAATCGTGGAGATCCGCTCGGTGATCGAAGGAAGAGATCCAAGACAAAGGGCGAAGGGAGGGTAAACGAGCCATCAGCGACGAAAAAGATTCGCATAATGGCGACGGACGAAGTACCTTTATCCAGACTATTCGATACACACGCGCTTTCTTTGAAGTTTCATCCGCTTTCGCAGCGAAGTGTCTCGCGCTGCAGCTTTTCTCTCTCTTCCGACGAGCCTTTGTCCTAGAAAGCTTTCCTTTAAAGGTCGACGCCTCTTCTGCTCCACTGCGAATTCGTTTCGTGAAAGCGGAAGTGGACCCGTAACGACAGATCTTCGCATGTTACTGCATAGTTATTTCACCTGTCCTCCGTAAGATTTACCGAGGATTCAATCTCGATTCGAGAAACGCAACGTTGGCCTTCGACGGAGTTCCTCCGCGAAAATCACGGAGCCGCATCCCTCAGCCGAGAGTGTCGACAAGTCTCTCGAATATGCTTCTCTAGTGGGCAATTAACGTTCGATTAATCGATACGCCCGGTGTAATTTCGAGACAGTAACTGCGAACCGAGATTAAATCCCCAACTACTTTCTGACGTCACTTGGAGCCTGGCTCGCACAGCATGCACTTATCCACGACGTACACGTATATACATCCGTGTATACAGTCGCAAAATGTATATATCTATGTACAACATTCTCGTGTATACATTCAGACGCATATATACATGGGTACGTTAACGTCGTGACATCGGCACGAGCGTGTCGTTCGTTTTCTGGTTTTTCTTTATCTATCTGCGCCGTTTTCACGGATACGCCGACGATCGTGAGTTTGAGACTTCTATCTCTGGGTAAATTGGAAAGCGGTTGCTTATTGAAAATCGATCCGACGTTTCCTGGATGGACGCAAGAAGAAGATAAGACGCGCCTTGTCGCCGCGGTTATCGTAGACTCGTACCACTAGAACTGTATTCCGAGTACCGAATTTTGCTAGAACTCCGAGAATATTTTCTATTTAGATTTAGCTCACCGTTGATGTTTGTTCCGACGATATTTAGTTACTACATCCGATGTATCGTTTTCCGTAAAATTTTCGTTGCCTGCATGAGTAACCAGTAGATACACCTCGCCACTACTTTCAGCCCTTGAACATTACAGAGATGTACATAACGATTCAAATGCAAACGAATAGATTAGAATGCAAGAAGCTAGATAGGACGGCTATTCGTGAAAAATAATTCAGCAATTCTCACTGCATTTTATTCCATTCTCCGATACTATATTCGAGAGAAGCAACAGATTCAGGTTTACGGTCACGAAGCAAGAAGGCCAACGTCCGCGATGGTCTCAAAGTTACGATCGACGGTGTATTCTCGTCGCATCACGTACGAGACTGTTTCACAGCAAATTGGCTTCGAATTTCTGTTCATATTAAGAAGTTCCGTGGACACGGAGGGGAAGAAAATTGGGGCCGGGGAAAGGTGCGAGGGGCGGGGGCGGGAGCGTACGTTGCTCGCAAGGAAAGCAGAACTTCTCGACGACACGAGATCTTCGAATGAGCTTCCGTTGCCGGTGGCTAGAAAAGTTTCCGCTTAAAACTTCCGCCCGATAAGCCCGCAGGTGTTTGCGGAGCGTCCAGGTACATTGTCCCGACCAATCGCGAGCGTTGTTTAATCGAACTTCCGGGAAAGACGGGCCCGGTTCTCGCGATATTCGCGCCCCGTGGAAACCGACAACTTTCCAACTTTCGCTGCGACCTAGTCGAGAAATGCCGCGATTAATTGCCTTTCCACGGGACCCGTCCCTCGACGTACTCGACTAGCAAAGTGTTTGGAAGAGAGGAGAAGAGGCGGTAAACTACGAGAGAATTAAAGAGAGAAAATTAAATTCGAACATCCGAACTCGAAGGCTCGTCTGAATTCTCGAATTCAGACTGCTAAGCTTGAATTTCGAAACGTAATCGTTATTCTTCTACCTCTTTTTACTCCCGAGACTTGCACGGGGGTAAAAGGAAAGAAAGCTATCTCCTCGGACAAAGAAAATCAAACGGAAGAGGGAACTGTCGATCGGGTTGTATGAAACGTGCACTTTGCCCAAGCTTCTTTCCCTCGATATCTCTCAGACTTTCCAAACACGCTTGCTCGAGTTCTACTTCTGCCGCGACGGTTATCTCTGTATTTCTGGAAACGGGGAGGGGGCGAGTTCTTAAACGGGGGTAACGAAGAACGGATTATACGCGAGGGAGGATGAAAGGGATCTCGAGTCGTTGGAGACGTGTTGCTGGTACACGTTAAGAGATGGTTGGCGGCGGTTGGACGATGGTGGAAGAGAAGCCTGGCACATATCCACGTCGGCTTTTTTAAAGGAGGAAAACCGGAAGTCTCGGCTGGTGGCGAGGATGCTTTCAAAGCTCGGACCGCCATTCACAAGCGGAGTCATTGGCGGTGGAAGCTCCGCATCCGCTACCGCCATACTTCGATTCGTAAGTCCGCAACGCCCACAACACGTAAGAAAGCTCGGTGACGTAGGAACCGGAGCAAATATTTCCCCTCGGTGTGTCGTCGAATGGTATCGTCCTTGGAACGACGATTTTCCGGCGTGCTCAGCGTTCCTCCGACCTCTCGGGAAACCACCTCTGGTCCGTGCGCTCGGTTTGCTAACGTTCCATCCAATTTTTCCCTCCGGCTCGTTATTCCTCCCTCCGTTTCGATTCCATGGCTTTTCGTACAAAGCGAATCTCTGACGCATTATTTCACCGTCGCGTGGATGTTTCTGACAAATTTTTTTCACCGTTATTAATTCACTCCTTTCCACGTAATCCTGACTTCCACCTATTCCATGGGATTTAATATAGATCGAATGGATAATTCTATTTCCGAGAAACTTTTGTAGATTGTTTCTGTCGGGAAAATTACTCGAAGAAAGGGGAGAATAATTTGAAAGAAATTTCGATCAATTACACCGTAGCATGTAAGAAACTTGGCAAAGTGATAGAGAGGAATACCTGATCCAAAATTCCTACTTCCGCTATGAATCTGTAAGTCAATCTCCCATTTGCATACACTCTCGCATCCTCGAAATTGCACTCCAAAGGAGCAGCAATCGCGGCAGCTGATCTCAGCAACAACGAGGACCTCCTTTAACGTCCGCCAGCAACGTGATTCGCGAGATGCAGTTACTGGGTCACGGATAGCTGGGACTTGGCAGCGGGACAACGGGGCACGGGATCGGCTGCCAAGTATCCAGAAAAATTCACGCTTGTTTGTCCGCCAGCTGGTGTCGTTTCGAGGCGTTTCGCCATTTAAAAGTAAACCGAGCGCCACGCGGGGTCGCGAGAGGGTTAAGGAGCGAGAGAGGGTGGCGTAACATATGGCACGGGCGTGACATCTGGCACGTCTGCTTAACAGCGAACGATATTGTTCTTCGGCCGGGACCATTTCGCCGACACATCTGAAATTCCAAGTCGTTCCATAGGTGCGGGGCACGTCTTCGTGACAAACAGACGTGGCTTTCGACGATTCGCCCGAACGTGTCCGCGCTAATCCGTATTCCATCGCGACGCTGGCGTTTCACCCTGGTACCAATTCTTGGAAAAATAGGTTCCTGCGTCGCTTCGGTAGAGAAGATGGTCTTCGCGATGCACGTGAAAATCGACGAATCGATACGAGACGTTGATAGCCGTTCCTCGAAATGGCCGAGGAAATGCCGGGAACGAGTGGGGAATCGAGAAAGAGCTGGTCGAACGCCGATAAATCCGTGCACCGTTGACACAGGGGAGCTAAATCGATCTCGCGAGGCTTGTTTCTGCCCGATCTCTTTTCCGCTAACGACCCACGTTATCCCTGTACCCGCAAACGATCTTGTTTCTATTGAAAATACATCACTCGGTATATCGGGATAAATACCTTTCTTCTCGGCATTAGGGTAGAATTGTCGGAGCCACAGAGCTTGCCGAAGATTCCACGCTGTGGGGTCTCTGTGGATAAATGTTCGACGAGTTTCGAGTCCTTGGAACTAACTTCCGAATTGCCAAGTTCCATTGAAATTTAAATTAAATTAAGTTATTCGAGGAGCGTGTTTCTCGTGGTTGTACTTATCTGAAGAAAAAGAAAACAAATTCCAGTTACTCGGATAACGACTCTGCGAAGCAACACCAGATATTACATAGCAGAAAGAGGAAATGGCAGAACCGAGCTTCGCGAGGATCGATGATAACGGTGTAAAAGTCAGAAGTAAAGTAGAAGTAAATTATCCGCTTCGCTTGGTAGTTTAGAACGTCTGCATATACTTATTCGAATTTATTCTTCTCTATTTATACTGCCTCGTAATTTATTTTTTCATTTTTTTTTTCTCTCTTCTGTTCCTGTATATCTATATACCTATCTATTCACTTTTCGAACTCGTATTTTCGTATCGTATCGATCTACCCACTTTTCATGTGCTCGGAAGCATGGCATGCGAGTTCAACGATGAGTTTTCGGTAGTCCCGTGGCGACTGTGTCGAGAAGTCTATAGCAGAACGATAAATCGTTCGCGATAGCGACGAATCGACAATGCGAGGAGGCCTAAATCGCTGCGAATTAGGGAAACCCAGGGAAAAAATGTAGCACGATGGTCGAGTCATTTGTACGGAGTGCAATTGCCTGACTATGGAATCTGACGTATCTTGTCTCGCGTGAAGATGAAAGGAAACCTTTTCCTATTCAAAGGACCTATTTTTCAGAATTTTTGGAAGAAACCTTAACTGTATGGATACTTTCTATGCGAACATCCTACAGCGATTTTTGTTCACAGTATTTCGAATTACACAGTGCAATATAAATAGAGAAATACACGAATCTGTTGTTATTTCTGCGATAAGAGAAAATTTTCATCAGCGACCAGTGTATCAATTTACTGCGCGCAACCTTTCTTGCCTCGTTGTCACTTACAACGCGAGACCTTCCGCCAAGAAGTGCCGTGGCATCCGGTTCGGAGCTGTACGAATTTCGTGGCAAATTTGTGGCGCTTTCCGGAAGTCGCCGGAACTCTCGACGCCTCGCGTATTGACCTGGTTCGCCAACTGTAACAGTCCCTCCAGCATAAACAACGTTACATCACGCTCGTGTATTATAAACTGGATTACATAGAGTTCCCGTATTATAAACTATGCTATTTTCTCTATAGGGTATCCCATATCACGTGCACACGTACACGCGACACACGAACGCGCCACTCTTAAGCGTTAAATTATAACTTCGAGCGACTGAAATTCTCCTGGAGAGAATGAAACTTTCTCGATCTAGGGAACAACGAAATATAGCTGAATTTATCCTTCTAACATCTGCGTTAGTTGGTAACGATACACTGACTCGAGACCTGCACCGGGAACAGCCGGAAGGATTTATAAATCCGACAAGACGCGATCTTTCGACAAGGGAGCATTAAAATAGAGATCTCTTGACGAAATATCCTCCTGTACAGGTGAACACGTCGAATGTTCGCCTCGTTTTCTTACCACCGAGTGTCTAGAATATTCGAGGTATCGACGAAGTTAGACGAGTTTAAAGTCAAGTGTCTTGCAGAGATACGCGATTCGAAACTTTTCCCCGAGTCTCGAATTTTGATATCGTGTTCGAATAAAATGTGCTTTCGACAGAAGTTTCTCGAGTGTTAAACGTCAGTTCGATAGTGTTTAAGAAATTCCGTACGGTTGCCCAGAGGGTATTCGAGAAATACGAAATAACAAGCTGAAAGTTGAGGAAAGGAACGAAAATAATTATTACCTGGAAGCTTGGTTGCCGAACGTGTAGTTCTTTGCACGTACCCTATAAACGCTTGGAACAACGAGGATACCTCAGATTCTAATACCGATGATTCACTCTGTATACGTTTCTCTGTCTACCTGTCTACAGGCAGTAAACGATGAAATTTTCCTCTCTCCGAAATGTCACGTAGAAATTCTCTTGAACGTAGATTCATCGACGCCATCGACGTAGCCAGGCCCAGGGACATGACCAGGAATCACGTGGTCAGCACGGAGTACTCCAACAAGTTCTTGCCACCAGAGATCTATAGGTAAATTCGACAACTGAGTTACAAGTTTCCATTGACCCTAATTCCTCTCACTGTCGGTTTAGCTAACTGTGGTAACACTTGGATATCGTACCTAGATCTGTTGCTGTGCCTATATTTCTTTCAATTCGATGGAGCTTACCACGCGATTGGCGTTGTAACAGCGAAATTTTGTCGAAACTCTTGACGACAACGAGAGCTTAGTCTCCTTTCGAATTAGCTTGAAATTGACCCCGTTCTACCGCCCGGGTCCAACAGCTACCTCAGCTTACCACGCCAGCATATTCCCTAAACGTTCCAGAAATTCCTGATAAAAATGCAAAACACGCCTATCCGGACAAAGAACGTCTCTGCGGAACGTTTACGCAGAAAATTTCGATTACGTGTATACCTCGGCGGCGGAGCCATTCCTTCGACAAAATTCCACGCGTGCTCGAACATCGAATACGTATACTCACACGTACCCACGCGTGTTTCACGGACTTCGCATTCTCGTTCTTTGCAAATGTTCCGCGGCAGTCCTGAAAGGCTAAACGAAATCTGTTCTCCAAATCTGAGCATTCGATGGTTACACAGTAGCCTATCAATCTTCTGCGAATTCTAGACCTCGTAGCTAGACACGCGACAGTATAGACCCACAGAGGTAACAGGTGTAGCTAGGTAACTCGAGCTTCACGTGTCCACCGGATGTTAAGCTACAATTTGTAATTCTCAGCGTGATCATAGATCCACCAGCTTTGTGACTTTATCGCCTGTAATAATTTTAGCGAAAGCTTCTTCAGCTATTAGTACGCGGTGGACTTATCTACCTCATTAGTAACCAACATCGACCCTGACAAGTTACTTGAATAGGATATATCATCAGCCTCTGATAATCATCGAACAGTCAGTCTCTATCTACAGTGGAAAATTATATTCAGCGATTAGAATGTTCTCCCAGGTTAATCCTGCATCAGACCTGTCTCGTTAGATTCGTATGCCTGCATACCGTGGATGGATTGCTCGGAATATAACCTGCAAAGGGAATACAATTAGTTACATTACAGTAGCCAACTTTCATTAACGCACCGTGCGTCAAATTCAACGTGTCTGCAAAGGATGCAAGTAGAAATTATATATTAGATGAAGACTGTTGTCTCTGTGACAATTTCCTCCTATAGTACTCCTATTTCCGAACAATGCACCGAAAGAATTTAGAAACTTCCCAAATTCGAGACAATAATTCCTCGATTTCTCGTTCTATTCTTGCAATCTAACTGGAATCGATTGTCCCGTGCAGGATTCCGGACGAGGATGCAACCAGAACGGAAATCGCCGAGATGGAGACAGTTCTGTGATCGTAGAGATCCGGCCACGATTGCCCAGCCACGTCAGCGCGACCATAAGCGTCCCTAGAGAGCGGAGCGGCTCGCCTCCGCCATTTTGGACAACGAGTTCTTGCCTCGTAGCCTCGTCGGGGCTTCCCCTGAACGCGAGGCCCTCGAAACCGAGCCGTTTCGAGTGGCCATCGAAGAGGGAACAGCCGATGAAGAAGAAGAAAAAGAAGAAGAAGAAGAAGAAGAAGATGGAGAAGAAGGAAAATGAATTTCGTGCACGGGAATAACGTTCAGTGCCTATGAAGAGGAAGCAGCATCGAGACCACGATCGTTCTGTTCTCGATGAACGAATATTTCCACGACCACGTTTCCAAGCTCTGCCTTTCGTCACGAGGAACCGAAAGGGTCCGGTGCTCGCTTCGTGACAACGATGATCGGACAGATACTATTGTTTGGGAATTTTTCTACTGTCCTCGAGGGACAGTACTTTGTCTTCTAGAGAGGGATTTCTGGGAGGATTTGATATTCGATGATGGACGATTCGGGTATTTCGCTGGAAAGAGTAATACTTTAGAGTTAATCCCACGGGATGGATCCTTGGGTTTACGGTAATTGGGCAGTGTGTCTCGCACTGTTTACGGGTTTGGAGAATTCCATTTATGGATCTTCTTGTCTGACACAGATGCCACTCTTGCTCTCGGGCAAATTTCTGGCTACTCGATGCCAAAACTTGCGTAATTACTCGACATCCGTGTCGATTCGCGAAATTAAAATTGGGATACCTCGGGACAAACGGAAACCGACGATGTTGGTAATTATTTTAATATGCCTGCAATTCTTAAACCGTAAGTCGTAGTTGTAGACGATCTTATGGTGTTTCGGTGGAATCAATAGGGAAAACGTAGTACGAACCAACACGAAACTCGAATGAAAAAAAAAAAAGAGAAACAAAAGACGTAAGTTATATTCAGGCAGCAACAATGCAATAGATAGTTATTGAAAATTCCTAAATCTTTTGAGAATCTCGTTGAAACTTTGTACGAAACTCCGGCCCGTTTTCCAAAAATACGGCTTCAACTTCCAGCCCACGATCGTTCGTTAAAACGGACTATCGGGGCGAGCAAAAATGCTGCGAAAGAACGAAAAATATAAAAAATAAAAAAATAAATAAATGAATTAAAAGTATATAAAAAAAAAAATTATAATAATAATAAAATCAACCGACATCTTGATGGAAAATGTCAATGTGTACCATACAAGATAACTGTGGCATTCGAGTATGTCATATATACATATATACATATATATATATATATATTTAATACGTAATGTACACACGAGCTACTATTACACGTTAAGTATGTATATTGTGGTAAAAAGAACAATGAAATATTCTAAAAGAAACTTATTTCGAGGACGTAATATGCTCAACAAAAAAAAGTACACGTAATAAAGATCCACCGAGCGTAACGATTAAATAAAATTGCATCGTGGAGTGTCAGGTGTTTGCGTGCCACGTTTTTAATAACAAAGATGAACAGGGTTATCCAGTGACGATTATTGTCTGGAATATCCCGAGAAATTTTGTTCAACGAAATCACGAAACACCTCGGTCTCTGAAAATATGTTTTACAAAAATTAATAAACCATGAACCACTATAGAGAACACCTTTCTGCCAACATAGATTACAAAAATTCTACGATTCGTTTCCCGTTCTGAATTATTTAAATTAAATATTCGCACAATTAATCGTTACTGGTTCATCCTTCCTTTTAAAATTCGATCAACGAGGAACAAAGAAGCAAGAAAAATACCTAAATTCGGAGTTAGAATATTTTAGAATACGCAAGGGTGCCTGCGACAGTGAATTACAAGCGCGTAATCTTTAAGGGGAAATATTTTTTAGAAGCATCGATGCGATCGCGTAATCGTCGAAGGCTTTGCGACTTAATAGACACCCTGACACTCCGCAACTTCTACAGATAAAGAAAAGATGAATAATTTAAATATAAAGTATATAAAGATCTAACCTCGTAAGGAGTAGCTGAAGAAGAGTCAGTCCTTTTGAGCCAACTGCAGAAAAACCAAAGATTTTGTGTGTGTATGTGTAGGAAAATCGACAGAGATAGGATTAATGTTCTAAAACTACGTCCGCTGTATATAGAACGCATTGTACCGTATAAGCCACGAAGCAAACCGCGGAAGAACGGTTTTCTTCCATTTCGAAAAACGAAAATATCGAAGGATCTTTGCCGTAAATTTTCGCCGCTACAATTTTTCTGATCGTGCAACGAAGAGGGAGGTGCACGAGAAGTGCGACGATTTGGAGTTCGCGTCGAAATTATTTTTCAGGCCACTTCTTAAAATACCCGGTGCTCTTTCAGTTCTACCACCGTTATTTACACTCGCAAGATCCATCGAACCCTCGTTTCCCAAGGGTCCGCTGTCGTGGCTTATACCGCACGTCGAGAACAACTCCACTTAGAAAAGCACTTGTTTCGACTCCTCGTGCGTTCAAGCGAAACGAAACGAACCACACGCGAGTCCGCGACATTCGAAACGACGTTTGCTCAGGAAAATTCCACGGGAGAATCTATATATCGATTAATTCATAAACGTTCACCGATTTTTAAGCACTTTCTATCCGGCTTTTCGAGAAGTCAAAACACGATTGCTTCGAGGACGAGACACGAGTGCTGGATTACAGAGGATAAGAACGGAAATCGCAAATCTAACTGATAAATACGTTGCTATCGGAGAAAACATGTTGTTACTGTTGTTGTTAAAGATAATGGAAGTGTTACGTTGTTAAGAAACGGCGCGAGCGTGCGTAGAGAAGGGAAGAATATTAGTTACACCTTCGGGACAGGTATAAGGGATGACGGTGTCGATGAGAAGGATAGAAAATAACGAGGCGTGTCGATTATGTCATGACTAATGTATCTCTATCTGCTACTGTTAAGTACCTAAAGACACGCGTAAGCTTCTACCCACCAGTCGACGCGAGGTCTTGGAACGCTGTTCCTATCCGACACTAACGCGAATTTCTTTTCACCGTCTGCGCATCCTCGGCTCAGTCACCGATCAAACTTAAGTAATCACGATTTCACGCGGTCGAAGAGCGATATAAACGTTATAAACTCGATGTTGCGTGTTTCTATTCAACTTACCGATCTTCCTTCGGACGAACGTGAATTTCAGCCGGAAAATTCGCATCGACACAACGAACAGGTCTCTCGATCTCGGAAACTTCTCTCTCTTCGATCGCCTAACAATTAGCGAGATGGTCCATGGCGCTTTAATCCGTGTCCAGATACGTGAATCGAGGACTTCCAAGTCTGACGAGTGGCTCCCACGCACTACGACTTCGGTTCCAATGGCGCGCACCAAAACAAACAGCACGGTTGCTCACGCGTCGAGCCACTACGTCCGAACGCGACGGGGAATAACGCGTAACTGAAACAGGAAGTTTCCAGAATGAACGAGCGAGAATGAACGCGCGAGCCTGACCACCTGCTGTGCTGTTTAGCTTCGGTGTTATCTACGAGCCACGCCTCTCAACCACGATATCGTAGGCGAAGGAGTCAATACCTAACTTCGATCGATGCGTGAGACGATAATCTGGTCCATAGTCGCTTGAAAAGCAATTTCCGTTGAAATCGAAAGTCGAATCTATCGTGAAATTTTTAAATAGGAAAAATCGAAGCGCGATTTCCTCTTTTGACATTGCCCGTTCAATCCGTACCGGACGAATCACCGTGTTCCTTCTGTAGTGATAAACGATCGGCGAACTCGGTCGATAGCGATTGAAATCGATACGACCGGAAACAAAAAATCCGAGAGAATAGATTTAATCATTGTGAACCTAATAGTCGCGAGCACACACGAAATAGCGGCCTTACCGATGATTTTTTAGCGTCGTACTCGTGATCTCCGAAGACTCTCGTGACCCCGTAAGTTATAGACTAGCCCTCACACGAACTATCGGCTTCCTTTCGCTAATTTCATCCGAGATTCGTGTTCCTCGCATTCTCATCCCCTGCCAGGACTCT